ATTAGGGTTCTGTGTGACAGTTTAGGTGGAGTGTGAGATAGATAGGAGTGTGAGAATGGAGGAGTGTGAGACAGTGAGAGTAAAGTGAGAGGACAAACAGAAAGACTGAGATCAGTGGTTCAAAGGGGACTGATTAAGGTAGATTGAGATCAGAGATTGGGGCATATATTAAAGTAATAGAACGAATTAAATGCATACTTGTTTATCTAAGTGATTTGCTTCCTGTGATTGACTCTGTTATTTTCAACCAATCATTAACCCCACCCTGATAAACTTAATGCCAAGGTTCCCTTGTGACGGACAGGTGCTGACTAGGGTATCCACTGCACTCTTTTTCTAGAAAGAGCCTTTCAAGCTTCTTGGGGGCTACCTGACCTTCTCCACCTTTCCCCAAATGTTGACCCAACGTGGGATCTGTTTTCTGTTCCCTTTTAAATGTAGTTTTCATTGGACTATTTCAGTGACATGGAGAGGGGGAATTAGCTGCTTGGGTAACAACCTATCCTCCATATTATTTTACCCAGGCCTCGCGCTCTGGAAAGGACACGCCAGGTTTACATACAGCATCAAAATAACATGGGAAGTAGCAGTTACCAGTCATAAGTCTTTTCTCTATTGGCGTAGAGCATGACACCAGGGGCTACGTCTGACTGTGGGAGACAGCATTGGACCTCAATAGGTAGCTACTGCCCTCCTTAAACTGGACAGCCCCCAGCCAGTAAGGTGCTGCGTCACCACGGTCTTTTAAGCCCATGGGGTGTGTGGGGTTCAGGGTGAAAGCCGACAAGCAGATCAAGGCACAGCAGAAGACATCTAACAATTCCTCCTGTACACCCACGAGTGCTACAAATTTTGGGGGTGAAGATCTGATTCAAACATTAAAGTCACCTGAGAAGTAAAGCATTTGGAAAAAACTATGCATTTGTTCCATTTGTGTCCAGATTTCATCACCGAAGTACTTAAGAGTTTGCAGGTAGAATGTATATGTTATGTAGAATTATGAGTAAAATTAAACTACATAACTTAATAATTATTAAACAGTTCTACGGCATAGCGATTTCCGACACCAAGACGGTCTCCCACCCTAAAACTTCTTTAACTGCTGTTAAAGAAGATGCTCTTCTTTAAGATGCTCTTCATGCTCTGCCCTTTAACTTTCCAGTTCCTGCCACAAAAGGTAACCTGGAAGTATAATCCTATCTTTTTCGGTAAGCCATGTTTCCTACAGCACAATCACATCCTATTCCGATAGCAAACCTGGGAAGTCCTCCTTAGGGAAGGGGAGCTGGGAGTCCATGAAGGAACAAGCATAACAAACCCCCAAAAACAGAAATAATTTTCCCAGTAAAATCTAACGTTTCCTATCAAAGTTTTTCTAAAGAACAGTTAATTTGTGAAGACCTAACAAATTCCTGACTAATTGAAACGGAGATAACACACCTGCAGCTGAGGTAGAGGGAGCAGTTAAGCCTCTGTTGAGTTAAATAGTTTAAAGCCATGAAGGAGGAAGTCCTAGGAATGTAAAAAAATGAATGATGGGTTATGTGAGACAGCATTTTTTTCCTAAGAGAAGTTCAGGATGGATTGAATGGTACAGAATGTAGCATGGTAACAAAGAAGGAGGCAGTGATAACTCCTCTTAGTTCAGCTTTGTAGTGTTTCTTAATTTCATCGGAAGTAGTTGTTTTATTTAACTGATGCAACTGCATGAACATAACTTTACGCTAATGCTTAAGGAAACAATGTGTTTCTATGAAACTATATTTTCTTAATAACAAATAATTATAAAAATTCTAACTGAGGACTAGTGTCTGGGACCAGCAAGGTTTGGCTAAATCCAATAGAGTAGAAAAGCTCGCTGATTAGCTACCATAGAGAAGTCCTCTTTAAGTGAGCTGTTGTGAGTTCTATGGAATCACAAAGCCCATGTTGAAGTACTTGCAAAGTATTGAGTAAAGTGTTCTTTAAGGGTCAGGCTTGTTCAAGGGACATATGCTATGCACTGCTGTTAGAGGACTTGAGTCAGTAGAAAGCAGTAGATTTGTTGCCTGTGGAACTCTGCCCGAATGCCATATGCTTCTTAGGCAGACTTGAGCATCACACCAAGTATTCATATGGTTTCTCCCCAGTGTGTGAAGCTGTTGCATTTCAACCACATACGTTCCCTGGATGGTTCTGTTCCTTCTGTGAATTTTTCGATGTGAACAACTCTTATGATTTTGAAGCTCTCCCCACATTCCATGCATTTCTATGGTTTTTCCCATTATGATGTCTGTGATGCGAGCAAAGGAGACTCCTGACACTGAGACATGTTCCACATTCCATGAACTTCTATGCTTTCCATTCCACATGATTTCTTTGATATAAGGTAAGGCCATTGCTCAGACAGAAGCTCTTTCCACATTCCATGAATGTCTATGGTTTCGCTCCAATGTGAGTTCTTTCATGGGAAGTCAACTGAGGTCTCCGACTGAAGCTCTTTCCACATTCCATGCATTTATATGGCTTCTCCCCAGTGTGAATTCTTTGATGGG